GTGTGTGTTACACGTCCGCTGAAGCCCACAAACAGACCATTCCGTGGGGGGGGGGGCGGGGGCAGGGGCGGGGGCTGACTGGGGTCACTTGACTCACCGTTGTCCTTCTTTTCGAAGAAGGCCCACAGCTTGTCGGCCCTCTTCTCAGGGCTGTTCTCGTCGTCCGGCAGCGCCGCCTGCTCCTCCTTCGGGATCAACTTAAATATGGCCTGAGAAGAAGAAGAAGAGGAGGAGGAGGAGGAGGAGGACGCTGCATCAGTCACTGGAACTAAGGCTGCACTGTGTGCAGGCCACGCCCCCATGGTTACATCACGTACCACAGCGTGTACTGCAGTAGGTTGTGTTTTACAGTATAAACAGTAGTAGATGTCGTACATGTAGATTAGACCCAGTGGTGAGGGAGAAAAGACAGTGCTCCTTTATTAGGAAATATATGGCTGGACTTTTCTATGGACTCTGTGGTACAAATATACACTGAAGACCAGTAAATATGTGGTCCGTAATCCTGGACCTGGTCTGGTCCACTGGTCTGGTCCATGTGGTTCTAATGTGAACTGTTTGGTGGAGTCTGACCGACAATGTGACATCATGAGACTTCTGTTCTGTACCGTTCTGTTCTGTTCTGTTCTGTTCTGTTCTGTTCTGTTCTGTTCTGTTCTGTTCTGTTCTGTTCTGTTCTGTTCTGTTCTGTTCTGTTCTGTTCTGTTCTGTTCTGTTCTGTTCTGTTCTGTTCTGTTCTGTTCTGTTCTGTTCTGTTCTGTTCTGTTCTGTTCTGTTCTGTTCTGTTCTGTTCTGTTCTGTTCTGTTCTGTCCTTGCCCTCTCTTGACCCACGTCTACCCTGATGTTTCTTCTTCACGTGAACCCTAGTGGTCGTGGATCACCATCCAACTTCACTGGTGGTTAAAGTAACTAGTAATCCTGTTACAGCCGATGGTCGGATTACCCGTGACCCTCGTCGATGTCTCTTCTCCCATCGTCACGTCCAGACGACGGCGTTTGTACTTTATGAGCCTCAGTAAATGTCTACAGTAGATGAGACCCACACAGAGTACCCCAGATAGGCCACAGAAGTGGACTGGCACTTAGACGTTGGACTATGTGTGGGCTGCATCCCACATACAGTACCACACCCTAACAGCAGGGGGACCGTGGAAGGTTGTAGTTTGATCAAATCAGGGATTAGGATTGAGAGGGTGACCAGGAATAAAGTATGTTTTTGTGTCGCCATGGCGACTGGAACTTAGTCATCCTCACTGATGCCTCTAACGCCCCCCAGTGGATCCCTCTCACCTGACATATCTCTGTTACTTCGGACTTGTTGATGTATCCGTTCTTGTCTACGTCGAACAGGGAGAAGGCCCACTCCAGCTTTCGGGTGGTCCTACCTGACGAGGTCATGTGCAGCGCTATGATGTACTCTTTGAAGTCCAAAGTACCGTCGTCGTTGGTGTCAAAGGAGCGGAACACGTGCCGTGCGTAGCCCGCGGTGTCGCTGTCTGGGAAGAAGCGGGCGTAGATCTGCTCGAACTCTGCCGGCGTGATGCGCCCTGACGGACACTGCTTCTGGAAGTTCTCGTACCACAGACTGATCTCGGTCTGGGAGAACTTGGTGTTGAGCTTCAGGTCCTCCAGGATCTCCTTTGACAGTTTACTGCTGGTTGAATTCCCCATCGTGGTGAAGTGTCTCGGGGGGGTGAGAGTGAACGGCCTCCTCGCTGCTCCACGGGTTCTCCTGTCCTGGTCCGCCTGAGTCGGTCCTGGGTCTTCGACGGCTGAGGAGTGAACTGTCCGACACCACGGTAAGACACTGAGGGA